GTAGGTAGACCTTCAATGGTAGTTGGCCAGAATAGTATTTTCCCAGTATCAGCATCCAAAATGTTGATGTTCCCAAAGCTTTTCCAGTCTCTGTTATGGGAGAAATATGAGACATTTCCATTTACCCTTTTCTTTCCTGATTAGCACAAAAGAAGCTACAGTCTCATGTGATGGAGCACGCAGCTCACCTGAAATGTAGGAAATCTTGGTTTGAACTTTTAAAGCGGCGAATGATTATTCAAAGTGATTATTCCCCTTCAGGAAGAGCGAGCAAGAGAATCTGTCCTAGAATAACCAACAGTCTGGTGACTAAAGGAGTTACCTATTAAGGCAACTCAGGATCATAGCTTGAGCCTTCAGGCTTTTTAAATGTGAGCTGAGATTAAAACATGACATTCTTTCTTAAAGAAATCTCTCCTAACAACAGTAGAGCTCACCACATTAAAAAAGAAGTGATGCTCTGTGGTGATTCTAGGAGAAGTGTTCTGGTTATTTACCTTTTGAAATACAACAGGTAGTCAGACTGTTGGAGAAATACCTGACTGAGGATACATCTCACTAACTGAAACCAGTTTTGAGAGGCATAACCAAACTGGAGAAAAATGAGCACAAGGAAGCAGATAGTTAAAAGGGGTAGCAGTGTTTGTCAGCATGTGTATTGGGTTTTTGGTTTACATTATCAGCATAGCAGCCTCGGTGGGTGTAGGAGGACAAGGCAATGGCCATGTTTCATCGATGGTGTATGCCTTTTGTGGCCCATGTTTGCAAGACATACTCTGAAAATTATTTAAAATTATTTAATGTTTAGCTCCAGGTTCTTGTTACCTGCAGTTCCTCAAGCTCTCAGTCAGTGCAATGGGGTCCTCTCCTTTTCCTGACACTTGATAAGAAGTGATGTATGATGCTAGCATAACCTCAGTATGAAGGTTATTCATGTTGGATGTTCATATTGTGCACATAAAATGCTATGAGGTTCTCCATTTTATTGTAATAAACTGTTTCTGTAACCTTGTTTTCCTTCTTTTTTTATTTTTTGTTCTTGATATACTCTCAAAGCGAGTGGATGACAAATTTATATGGAATACAGGGAAGGTTTAGAAAAAAAGTTATACTCAATAGTTTGAATTGCAGTCCGGCTGACACTGGGACTTGACTTTGATATGCAGAATCTAGGAATAAATATCGTTGGACAAATTAAAGAAAAAATAATTCCTTCCCCCCCCCCTAGATAACAGCACACTAATGTATCCTTTTAGCTTTTGTCTTCTTTAAATAAAATTATTTACAGTTTTATTGAAAGACCTATTACATATCATAAGAAAGGTAGAAAGTTATTTTCTTAATTAACACAGTTGATAACGTTATAGTTTTAACTGTGTTAATTCTTTTAATGATGAACTCTGCTAATTCTTTCTAAGAGGTCACACTGGGTCTGTGGCCCTCTTTTGTTTCCATCTACAGTTTATCTCTTGGTAAATCCATCTGCTTCCTCAAACAATTACGACACTTAGAAGGGGTTCATGCCTTTGAATGTCATATTCCATTCCTTGTGCACTTTTATTAATCAGTCACATTAAAGCATTTCTGCTATAGTAGCTTTCACAGAGGAATCTCTTGGTACCATTCAACTGTAGCTCAGTTTCTATGATGCCTGTAGCGCACATTTCATACTGCTCAGTCGTTCTTATAGTAGCTCACTCCTGCCTCTAAATTACCTCATGCCTTTAGCTTTTCAAATGATTTTTTAATAATGATTGATATTAACATTTCCCTCAAAAGTTACTAAAGCTCCTCATTTTCCTCAAAATTTACAAAAAATGTTTTTTCCATTTCGTACAAGTTTGTCTGTTTTCTGTAAACTGAAGGCATCAATTTTTTGGCAAGCTATTGTGAGTACAATGATTGTTTTCTTACTAATTTAGATTGAAATCTTCAGATTTTGTCAGTATCTGCCAATACTTAGCTGAGCCATGTGGAAGAATACATATTTTAAATCTGAATTAGCATACCACACTTGCTTATAGCCTCCTAGCATGTTCTAGGAGTTCAGAGGAGCTTGAAGGCAATGAGAATTGGTAAAGTGTAGGTAAGGAACATGCCCTTAAATGCTATGATTCTTCTTTATATCAAACCTAAATTGTGCTGACAGGTCCCAGATGCGCTTTTCCATTTGCATCAGTTCAACCACTCACATGATTCAAATGCAGCAGCTGCATGAAAGTAGCAGGATTGTGAAAGCTGAGGGACAGAAAGGCATAGGAGTCCTTTTAAAGGCTAGGTGAAAATTGGATGGAGACCTGTGGCTGTGATTTAATGGAGAGGAAGATTAGCCTGATGGTTTTGTTTCTCAGATCTGTACTTGGTTCTTTTGTATGAGACAGTCTTTTTGGGCCAACTCCAGGCAGTTAGTTTGGCATCTGAATTCAAGGAGGCAGTGAAAAATTTGAACAGCTTATTCACCAAGGCTGTGGAAGAAGAAGAGGGCTTACGAACTCACCCATAGTTTGTTTGTTTGTTTTTTTTTAAATTAATCAGCCTTTGCTTAGTTTTTCCTTCACTGGAAACAAAGAAAATCAGTGAAGCTGCTGAACTTTAAAGACTGTAGTACTGCTTAGAGCCATATGCTTGGGATACCTTTTGGTTTCTTGCAGCATTTTGTGTTTTTTTCTTACAATTTCTCCTGTGAATCACCAAGTTCCCACTGCTGCACCAAGAGATACCAATGAAACGCACCTCAGTCTCAACCAGAGCAGCTGGCTGGGGCCTCGGTGCGAAAGGATGTACCAACCATGTGGGGTATTTCGTTCGATTTGGGAAATACACAGACACACACCTCTCTAGGCAAGGTTATACCAGTGTCACTGCTGTGGTGCTGACTTCAGACTATGTGAGGTGCTGGTAACCACAAAGGAGCCAGGATCTGGAAGGACGGGGAGCGTGGCTGGGTGTTAAATAGGCACTTACAAAAGGCTAGAGGAGCAATGTGCCCTCCCATGGTCTACTTCTCTTAAGTGAGGTCTGTCCTCAAAAGTTGAGGGACAAGGGGTTGTGGATAGTTAGGGGTAGGTAGGTGTCATCTGCTTCAGGTCTTGCCATATTGGGCTGTTCTTGAGAACGCTGTCCACCTTCAAGATGCAGAAGAGAAAGTGAACGCATAAAATAATGAAACATTTTTTCTAGGGGAATATTGTGTATCTCTGAATTTGTTAAATGGGGCTGAACTGAAGCATCTTTGGCAGCATATTGTGTAAAGGTAGCACTTGTTCTTTTCTCACTTTTACAGTACAGTTAAATAAACTATTTATTTTCCCCTTTGTCTTGATTAAGTGCACACAATAGAACTTCTCAAAGAGCAGACTATGAAGTTAACAGTAGGAGTTCATCTCTCTTCACAGCAGGATATAGGATATATAGGATATATCCCAGTTTTGTCAGAAATTTCAATGGTACTGGCCAGGTAAAAGGAGGCTGACTTTTCTTAAAATATTAAAGGCAGCGTTCATCTTCTGAACTTTAATCACTTGTAAGTTAGACACCAAGGATGGCATTCTTCTTTCCCAAATTTGCTGTTTATATCACAGCTACTTACATGACAAAAAAATGTTCTAGTCTCCTGTCATAGTCGTCCTCGTGCGATATAGAGACCTCGCAACCTAAGGTATGGATACAGGGCTTAATGCTGTTGTTGAGATGTGAACACCTAAAGTCCTTCTGGGATAGTAAAAGTTAGATGCCTGGCTGTTGTGGACTTGTGCCATGTTTTGAGAACAGGCACCTGTAGATGATGATTCTGTCTAAGTTGGGCTAGTATCACCTTCTAAGCTTACCCCACTCTCTCCACCAAAGAGCAAAGGACCGAGTCTCCTAGCTTATGAGCTCAGCCCTGTGTGTTTAGACTTTGATGGGAGGAATTTGGAGCTTCATAATTTTCCTCAGTCCCTACAGAAAAAAGTGCAGAAGAGCTGAGAGTTAAATGCAAAGTCCCTATGTGCCACTCCTGCCTCATAGGCACAGCAACTGCTGGCAAAAAGAGCTGAGAGGACTGAATGTCCAAAACAGCTCTCAGCTGGATGGTTTGAAATACTGTAGAAATATTTCTCTTCTTATGCTAGAATTTCTCACTTTACTCCTTCAGCTGTCCTGGAGGGGTAACCTGCATAGATGTCTGGCAGACACTAGTTTTTCCGTATTAGAGTTCACTGTAAGTATATTAGCACATTTGCCCTCGACAGCCTGTTTCTGTAAAAGTAGAAACAGTAAGAAAATTCAAGCCATTAACAGGCTTTCCTAGATGCCTATTATTGCTTGCCTATTCTTCCAGTCCTCTGCTGTTTCTTTATAACCATAATAGTCAATTACTGCTCATAACCATACGGAGTTATTTACAACAGAGCCCACTACCTAAATAACTCCAAAGTTATGGACGCAACTCTTAACCGTGAAATTTGCAGAGCTACTGTTTGTAGACACACTCCCCCTCAAGATATGAAGAAATTGCTGGGACTGTCTAACTGATAATTCTCAGTTTCTTGGGATCATGAGAACAGTATATATAAATAAAGATAACAAGTTCAGCGTGCATTAAACACATTGAACAATGAAGCTATTCAGACACAAACAATTGCCCTACTTGATTTCCCCAGATTCTGACTCTTGAGTCACTCTTACCCTCAGCTGGAAGCATCAAGTTACTTAAGACATTCAGGGAAAGCACTTCAGAGGCCTCTGGCTTGAATCTTGCAGCACAACAGTTGCTAGATGCTGCTCAGATGGATTACTGTGATGAGTATATGAATAATGATACACTTGGATAAATAAAGCCATGAAATAAATCATGCCAGGGTGCTTTATGCAATTTTGAATTGAATCCTGAAACGCCATGGGAGCTGGTAGAATAGAAATGAAGATGGGAGGATGCTTCCTGTGCATGAACAAAAATATCATTGCAGTTTCTGGTAGTGGATGTGATCTATAACAAATTCCGTTCTTTTATTTTTCAGTCGTTGAGCTGGACATGAATGGGATGGCATCAGATCACAACACTTCATCCCAGGATGAATACCTCCCACACTACCTCCAGAGGGAAGACCCCTTCGCATCAAAGCTTTCTAGAGAAGCTGACATAGTAGCTGGATTTTATTTGACAGTAATTGGTAATGATTTTTTACCTCATTTTTGAAGCATGAACATGTCACTGCATCCTTTCAGGCACTCACAAAGAAGGCAGTGACTGCTGGGCGTTGGATGTGTAATTACATGTTTCTTCGTACTAGAAAGAAAAATCTAGGCAAAGGTCGAGAAGAACATGTAAGAAATATGGTTAGCACCATAAGAGAAAGCTGGTCTAGGTAGGCAAAAAGTCTGTCTCCAAAAGTGACTATTAGTGGACCTTCTGGGTAAAATCACACGAAATTCTCTCACTTCTACTGATAGGAACAATTAATCTGCAGGCTAGTTATCTGGCCAAAGCTGACTTATGTCCTTATGCAGCGTGGGTTTTACATCTTGTTTTTAGAGCCTCTTTCACGTGTCTACACAGCAAAAGAGAAAATCATCATACATGTTCATTAGAATCTTGTTCAATTCTTAGTATCGACTCTTTCATTACACATTATATTGAACAGTATTTTCTGTCTATGACCCTCCCCTCAACTGGTCACTTTTATCCTGGCATCTTTTACCGTATGCAAAGTAACTCTGCAAGCAGAAAAATGCAATTATTTATTGGCCAGTGCACGTAGATAATAGGTATGACTGATTTCTTGATGAAGTGTTTATATTCCAGGCGGTTCTCATTCAGTTGGGGGAATACCAGTCTGCATTGCTTCTCTGAACAGACTTGTCCTTGTTTTTCGCTGATTTACCATCTTGTGATTCTCTACTCTTTTGAGGAATTTATACCTTTTTGCATTATTATTTTTCCTTTCAGATACTTGAGCTGCTAACTGTTATCTCCACCCTTAAATTTCTGTCCATGATTTTGATTTTCCTTGTGATTTATGACTTGACTTTGCATACTTTCTCACAGCTTAAAATCTGTTTTCTCAGTAAAATTGGGCCAAGGTCACATAACAGTGCTGCACCAAACTGTGTTTTGGGTCACAGACAACTCTGGACTGAGGGCTACAGGGTGTTTCTTCAAATTTATTACGTTTTTGCACTTAATATAAAACTGTTTAGTCCTACCTTTATGTTTATCACTTATTATTTTGCATACCTCCTGCCTATGCTCTCTCTTACTACCTTTCCTCTGATCTAAGTAATCTAATATTTTCTGCTGAGGAAGTCTCACCAAGGCTTGGATAATGTCTATCTCTCCTTAGTCTTCCACTTCCACTATCTCTATTTAAATAGGAATTCAGAACTAAATATATTGCAAGTGAAGTTGTGTCTCTGCTCTGTTCAGTGATGTACTAGTCTCAGTATTCGTAGTACTGTACATAGTATCCTAGCTTTTTCTATCTTTTTTTTTTTTTCCTTTATGGCTGCTATGCAAACAGATGTCTTCACTGAACCGTCGAAAACAACACCCCTTGCATTTTCCTTCACTCAGTTGAACAAACTTAGTTTTAATCCCACGAAATATATCTGAGTAGCTAAAATGAATCCTTCCAACGTACATTGTGCTGCCTTGGTGTATTAGTTGTATTTAGTGCAGATTTGTCCACGTCCAAAGAAATGCCCCTGCCAGGTGTGAAACATCTTGAACAACATAGACATAACAAAACTAAGGCAAAGACCAGAAACGATAACTTTCCAGAAAAAATCCAAACCTGACCATTCAGGCACAGACTTGCATAAGTAGTATGAGAAGAGGAGGCTGAATCTATAGCTAAAAATGGCTGATAACTTATCAGTAAGATTCCCACCTTCCTGCTGTGGGGCAGACTGAGGATCAAACAACCCAGAGCGGACTCCTTGCTCCCAATGGCTCAAGCTGAGAAAGTTCAAGCTATGGCTCTGCTATATGCACATAAAGCTCCACCTTAGAGATCATATCCTACTTCTCTGGATTTAACTTCCTCATTCATGTGTTTGCTTTGCATTTGACTCGGTTAATTACTTTACCCTAGTGGTGATTGCACACCCGGTACTGACTGTTATTAGAGCCACATATGCTGTCTGTATTATATGCATCTAAATGCTATAGATTTGCATCTTTCTTGGGTTTGCATCTATAGCATACAATACCACTGTGCAGATATTTTTTTGCCCTTTTGTGGGTTTCAAGCTTTCATTGCCTTGCTACTGATCACACGTGCCCTCGGCCATTTCAGATACAGCAACTGTCATCTTGTTTCCTAGACTGGAGTAATACTGTTTTGGATGGTTGTGTGTAATTCAGTAATGGATATTATTTCACTAGAGGTGAAGAGAAGTCAGGAACCTTTTCCAGAGGTTTTACGAAGGAGGGGCGTGTTGTTATTTTATCAATAGAGCAGAATTACACTTCAGCTCAGCCCCTAAGTGAGAAAGCTAAACAAAACTGGTGGAAGGAGCAATGTCAAGTCCTCCTCCTTTGCTCGTGTAGAAGGGGTGAAGTAGTCTTTCACCACGCTTTTCTTAGGAAAAAGAAAAAGCTTGGTTTGGCCTAATGTTTGATGTATGTTTTGTAAATTATAAGATTGTTTTAGCTTATTATATTAGGGATGCTACCCTTAGCTGTCGGTATGCAAACCCACGTTTTATTACCCATTCATGTTTAGGTGGACGGCAACCTTCTAACAATATCTTGAGCCTAAAAATAGAGGATGTTTTAGAAGGTAGTTCGTCTTTGCTGTTCCTCCCAGCAAAATCTCTGAGTGACTATTTTACTGGCTGCAAACAAAAATAAACCCAAGGTTCCTTCTCCACTAAACTGATTTCCAACAGCTCAGAGTACCCACATTTCTGCTGGGCACTGCCATGCAGAGATTTTCTGTGGCGAATAATAGAATCTGTGTGAGGTAGCAGAGAAGGATGTGTAGCTCAGTGAAACAATACACTAACATTTTGTACAGCAGGCTTGCTGATGCTGTAAATGTACTTCAATTGGCAGCTGTTTCATGAGTCAGAGCTCCCAAGTATTCAAAATAGTGAGTTAAAGCTCTGTGCCTCAGTAGCTCGTGAGCATAATCAAATCTTGTAGTAACTGTGCAGTACTGCAGATTTATTTTGTAAACTGCGTAACCTCCCCGTGAGCATCCGTATATGTTTTTACTGTAACTTGTTGTTCAGATCAAATCTACCTATTTTCTTCCAGGGCGCTGAGCTGTGTCTCTGGTTCCCTGGCAGATCTCTTCCCATAAACTTTCTCCCCTTTCGAGGCTATCCTGTAATTACAGGTGGCAGAGAGAGGGACTAGTTGCAGAAAGATGGGAAGTCAAGAGGTGGGAATTGCTGTTAGGCATCTTTTTTTTTTTGCTTGAGGCGTGTTAGGTGCAAGTGAATTTAAAATATGTTTCAAAGAGGGGAGAAGCTGCAAAGTGAGTGAGCAAAGGTGGGATCCTATCAGAAACCTCAACAGAGCTTGTAGGGTCAGGCTGGTTGTCTGAATAATTGAAATATTTCAGTTTGGAAATAGAAAAATGCATTTTTTTTGCATTTCCTCCAAAAAAAGGAGTCTTGGCCAAATCACGATAAATTCTTTGTCGACATGTGATTTTTTGATCTGAATAGGTTGTTTCCATGTGGGTTTTCTTATTGCCAAAAAAAAAAAAAAGCCATACACCTAATTTAAGGATCCAATTCTTTTTGCTTTCCAATTCTTGTCACTTCCTCTGCTAGCTTTTTCATCACCAACTTGATTGATTTCCTGTAAGGATGAGTCGGTGACTCACAGGTGAACTGAGACCCGCCAGCCATCAGCTCCTTCAGAAGCCCCTGGCAGGTAACTATCAGTTCACAAACTGTTGTTGCGCTGGTCCACAGTGTGTTATAGAACAGCTTTTATTGGGGAAAAAAATCCTAAACTAGTGTTTGTTTTTTATTTTTCTCTAACAGTTTAGCCCTGCTGTCAGATTGAAGAAAAGGAGTCTTATTTGTTTAGACTGGTTCTTTTATACGTTTTTCCCTGATGCTGCAGACTCTGTACCGCAGCCTGGCTCTGTTTCTCTGCCTCTTCGTCTGCGCTGGGAGCTTGCACTGGAGAGGGCTTTGGTTAGCTGCTAGGAAAACCTTTTCAATAGGGAAAATAAAGCATTCAGATGGCTTGTCTTAAGGGGTAGTGAAGTTTTTATCATCAAAGAGCTCAAAAAAGGTTAGATAAGCGACCGTTCAGAAACGATGCAGGTCAAAGGTGAGCTTAAATTATCATTTGACACCTTCCAGCCTTAGGTTTGTGTTTAATGGACAGGGGTTTAGATCCTCTGAAATACTGCTGTTAATAATGAATAGCTGCTTCAGAGACTTGTCTGATGTATAAATCTTTCTAGATTTCCAATCTGTTGAAAAGTACTCAGGAAATTGTCAGGCGCTTTTGATAGTTATTCCAGCCTGGACGCTGGCATACGAGATGAGATATTGTGAATTTCACTCGAGAGAAAATGGGAATGAAAAAGGATTAAGATATATAAAATATATTCAACAACACTGAGACTCACTTAACAGCAATGAATAAAAGAATTGAATTGATTACCTGTATCTACTTATAATTCAGATTGAATTTTCAGAGCCATAAGAATAGGATGTTCTTTAAATTTCATTCACCAAGGATAAATCAAATTTACTGAGAAAACCTAAAATTAAAGGATGAGCCACTTTCTGATCTATTTTTTTTTATTTTTTAAAATAAGCTCCAGGCCAGCACTGACAGTATAAAAATATAGGTTTTTCCAGTTAAAACAGTTTGGCATTCATTACTGAAAAATTCTGAATCAAAGGATTTTTCTCCTGAGCTTAGTAAATCTTGAATTCCCCAGTTGCACATATTTCTTGTGTAACAATCTAGTTTTAGCCTCTGGAAACCGTTTTTCTTTCCGCCTCATGAATGTCCCCAGGCTTGGTTTCTTGGTTCTGGGGGAGCACGGCAGCCTTGCAAGGTGACCGTTTCATTGATGGGCTGTCACAAATACCCATTTAATTCCTGAGGCGTGGGACTCCCATCAGACTCTGCCAAGAGAAGCTGATGAAAATTGTTGTGTACGAGGGTAATATATTTTGAGTGAGCTGCATTGCTGAGCAGGTGGGGAGCTGCTGGAGTCTTTCTGGAACATATGGAAAAAAGACTAGGTGTCTGCTAGGAGCTTTAATGTCTGTTGAGATGCAAGAAAAAAAAGAGACTTTTTTGTTGTCGTGTTTTTTTGGAATACCAGAATCCCCCACAGAGATATTTCACAGAGTGATGTTTTTCCAGGTAAAAAGGGCTTTTTCTGCTGTGGGAAACCTCTTGGCTGGGACGAGTTTTCAGCAGCTGCTGCCATTTTGCCACAGGATGTGCCATGTTCGGGGGCTCCATAAAGCGCTTTGCACCAGCAGGGCAACGTGCAGGCTGGGAGGCACCACGAGAAGCGAATTGGCTGCCTCACCAACAGAGGAAAGCTGGGTTATTTAGGAGTCTTTTAGGGTAGAAGCACAGACTGACAAGAACTGCTATACCTTTGGGGGTGAGACTCCGTTTTCTGAAACTGGTATTACATCCTTTGCTGCTTTTCTCCTGCAAAATGTCCAGGCCAGACTCAACTCTTTCAAATATCAGTTACTGAAGAAATAACTTCCTTTAAGAGGGTAGAGAAGCCTGTAGGTCTTGGTGTCAGTGCAATAGCCCCATGGTAGATCAGCTGCTTGCTGGAGAAGCTCCGTGTGTCCTCGGGTGGTGGCTGAAGGGTAAAAAAGCCCAACCAGCCTGAACAGGACAGGACTCCTCCTCGTGCAGGGAACTCAGCTGGAAGGTAAAAATCCTTGCATCTTATGATAGAAATTAATTTCTATTGTAAGGCTTATGATGTTATATTAATATGAATAACTAGCATTATTTTAGAAATGTATCCCTCAACCTTTAGTTATAGCATTTAATGAAATTAAGGTTGGTTAGTGGTTGGGATCCTTGTAATTGCCAATGACAGTTGAATGTCATCATTGTGCTTGTATAAACATACATAAGACAAATGGAGCTGATGAGAATAGAAGAATTATGGGGTTTCTATTAAGCGCATTCAATCCATAACTGTGCAGGCTCAGGTGGTAAAGGCAATGGCCTGCAGCAAAACGGAAAATGGCATTTGTTACAAGAGGGAGAGGTCTCTGGTAGATGTTTCTATGAGCTACGTAATGAGGAGGAGATGATTGCATTTCAGATTAAAATGCCTAGCCCTGGGACCACAGATTCAGGTAGAAAATACCAGAGAATTTCACAAGGTAGATACAATATTACTGTTTTTGAGAAGAATCCTAATTTGATTGTTTTTCTTTTTTTGTTATAGGGATTCTTTCAACTCTGGGAAATGGGTATGTTATTTTTATGTCCTCAAAGCGAAAAAAGAAGCTAAGACCTGCTGAGATAATGACTGTTAATTTAGCAGTGTGTGATCTGGGCATTTCAGGTAATCTCATGTTTTAATTTCATTAATTTTTACCTTCCTACCATTCTTTCTGGCAGCAGTAAGAAACGTTCCTCTGGAAGTCATGGGAAGCCCCAAATGCCTTTTATCACTGATGTTTCTGCTCTATTATTTGCATATAAATGAAAGAGAAGGATAGAAAATAAAATTCCTGAATAGCTTGATGGAAAGGATTGGCAAGAACATAGGGAAAAATAGGATTGGATCTATCAATCCTGACTCGTGCAAAACTCCTGTTCACTTCAGCACTGGGCAGGCCTTCAAAGACTCCCATGTGCGTCCTGGTATGATAAGCACAAAACAGCTTTTTATTACAACTGGAGAAATTTTTGTTTTCTTGCTGTAGGGTGTTATAGGAGGGATCCGGGCGCTTCAGAAATATGTATCTAGCCAAATCTGAGGGGAAGGTAAAGGGAAAGAATTGGAAAATACCAGTGGCTATCAACCTCTCAAAACTAACAATTTTCTCTCTAGTTACCTTCCTCTTTTCCCTTTGGGTCAGGAAAATAAGGATTAGCATTAATCTATAGAGTAACAGAAGCATCAGCCTGCTGGAAGGATTTCCATTCAAACCCACAGCTGGGACATTCACCAGCATGAGAGGAGGCAGCTTTGGAAGGGTTTGCACAAAGCTGCGGAGCCCGGAGCCCTTGAAGATCATTTCTTTGGCTCTTTGCGTATGTTATTAAGCTGCACAGGGCTGCACACACATGAGGGGGAGGACTGGATGTCCTTTAGAAAAGGGTGTCCTGGATGGCAGATGACCCATAGCAGGCTTGAAGGCCGATGTGACCCTGCCAATGGTGGGGTCTCCTCAGCACAGCACAGACGCACTTCTGTGGTGCAGACACCTGTAACTAATAAAACACCACCGAGCAGCTGAAGGGTGGCTATATTTCTATATGCACATGTCTATGCTGCCCATCCTACTCTCTCCACCTGTGCTCATTCCCAATTTCCCAGTGCCCACTTCCACAACTGCACAGTGTGTCCTGTCTTCAGACAGCACGTCTCCACCACTGCTTCACTCTACTCCATCTGCCCCCAATATTCCTTGTGCTTCACTTAAAAAAGAAAGCAAAAAAAAAAAAAACCCAAAACAGTGGCAGGTTTTTAGCTCTCTCATGATGCTTTTATCTCCTCCATGTGCTAAGAGCCAGTCTCAATTTACAAGTCTCATATTTGACAGAGATGGAGGGTTCCAGGAGAATTTTCGCAGCTATCAGGAAGGTTAAAAGATAACCCTTAACCACAGAAGCTGTTAACATGCAAACTGCGGCATGTTTGGGACTGCTATCTTAGGATAAGCTCTTCTGGTTTCTCTTTCTATGTCTGTTAACAACATACCATGTGATCTTGGTTACCTTCTCTTCCTTGGGGATTTCAAATTTTCTGTGTGTGAAAGATTCATAATTAAAAATAATTGTAATTGGCAAAGCCATGCCTACTTTTTGTTGCTTTTCTTTCCTTTTTTTTTTTTGTTAACGGAAGATGTTAACTCTAGAAATGTGATATGTTCTGCATGTTGGAGCTATTGGGGATGGAACTCCTCCCAAAATCTTTATATCTCACACACTTGGCTTGGCCCCTTTTTTAAGAAATAGGTTCTGAAGTGGCTCTGCTTCCTGTAGGTTTCCACAGGGTGGCACCAGCTGCTTGTTTAAAACTAAATCAGGCTTGTTTTTGACTAATGCCATGCTCTGATTCTTGTGCTGCTGTGGACAAGTTGGCTTTGTTCAAATAAATATGGTATCCTTTACAGCTGGCAATAATTTACATTATTTAAGCTACTGACTCTTGGGATTTACCCTAGACCTTGCCATATTTCATGCTTTTCATGAAGCCTTTATCTCTGAGATCTGCTTTTGCTTGAAAAAGGAATGTGTGTTTTTACTCCTTCTGCTTGGAGGAAAGCCTATAAATATGACTTGATCAAGCCCTTCAGGCTCAGGCATGATTTTCCTTACAGGCTCACAGTAACAGAAAAAATGACAAAATACATTGTTTTAAAATAAATCTCATTTTCAGGGTTTTCCAATCATGACAGTTTGGGGATTAGAAAATGGAGCAAAAGCCCTTTTCTGCAAGATTTGTTTTATTTTTCTGTTGAGAATGAAATGGAATGTTTACTTTCAGGTCAGTTTAATCTAAATTGGAATATTCTGGAGAACCATCCAAAATATTTTACTTAAGATGACTTCAACAAAGTCGAGACACTCGTGTCTCTGTTTATATCTGAAAGGTGCCTAGTGGGGATTGGAGTCTGGGAGACTATTTTTTTGCTGTGTGCTGTTCCCTAGAAGCACCCTTTGCGCTCTTTCCAGAAAGGAATTTACGGAGCTATGTTAATGTTACAGACTATAAGTTCAGCCAGGGAAACCGGCTGCGGGCAGTCGGAGATGCTCTCAATTGCTTGAGATGCTCCAGCAAAGTGCTTACAGGAGTATGCAGTCACAGGAAGGTTAAGTTAAATATTTAATGTTATTTTAATGTTGTAGCTCAGTGCTGACCTGTTCAGGCTTTTGAGCACTTCAGGTCAGCCCAATAGGGAGAAATGAAGCATTCTGAAAACATGTTGATGTTTCTAAATTGTAAATTTTTGAGTTTTCTCTTTCATTAACATTGATTTTTTTTTTTTTTTGTGCATATGTGTCCAGTTTGAAACAAAAATAAACATTATAAGGTAGAAATTTTCAGCTGGAAATTTTCAGTTTCCCAAATATTGTAGGAATGAGCAAGTTTGGAAGAGTATGAGTAATGTTAGGCTATTTTAAAGCTAGAATGGAAAAAAGTATCTAATCTAACTTCTTTCATAGTATACCACCTGCTTTTACAAACACAGAACTGAGCGTGGGAGCCACTAGGACAGCTTCTCCCAAGGAGTTAGTTGGCTCCCTTTGTTCAGATGGCTAATTAAGATGGGAGTGTTCAAAATTTTGAGTATCTATGGCCAATTGACTTGCTAAGGGTGACCTAGGAAGTGTTTGATATGGACAGGAATTGAAACTACTCCCTCTACAGTACACGTCCGTGCTCCAACTATAGCACCATCTTCCTTCCTAACTTGGCGCTTTACCATAGGATGCATCCTATCTTTGGGCCTTGGCACACTTGCAGTGTCCTCTTTGAAGGCAAATTTCTTTACTCTGTTTGTGAAGACACTCGGCTGATTATAGGAATGTAACCTAACTGGATCTCCGTTTGTCCTCAAGTCCAGATTTACCCATACTCTTTGTAAACTACCATGTGTCTGCATATGGTCTTAACCCGTATTCTAAAGTTTTCCTCATGGAAAGAGCTTGTAAAGGCTCAGTACTGTAGTATGGGTTTAACTTCTAGTTTTTGTGGTCTGCACAGTAAAGCAACAGTGAAGCCTTGTTAGGTTAAACCCTGTGAATGGAGGGCACACAAGTCATCACATTTGTTGCGCCCGGAGTGCTCGCTTCATTTTGCAAAGCAGACACATTTCTGCGTTTTTACTGGTATCAGCTTTGGGCAAAGGTGGGGTTTGTTTTTCTGAAAAAGGGTGGTTTTAGCAGTGATGGATTTCAACTGACATTCTCTTCTCCTTTTGAAGTTGTAGGAAAACCCTTCAGTATCATTTCCTTCTTTTCTCACCGCTGGGTGTTTGGATGGATGGGCTGCCGCTGGTACGGATGGGCTGGCTTCTTCTTTGGCTGTGGGAGCCTTATCACCATGACAGCTGTCAGCCTGGATAGATACCTAAAAATCTGTCACTTGTCTTATGGTATGAAAGAAAAACTATCTTAAGTGATACTACCCCTTCTCCCTGCTCCCCCTCCCCTCAAAAGCCGTAGGCTATTAGACATGTGAGCAAATAGGGTAAGGAATAGAAAACAATTGCATATGATTTTCTCCTCCCAAGTAGAGTGAAATCAGAGAAGAATCAAATGAACAGCCATTACAAATAATATACAATATGAATAAATTAGTGAAGGATTTCCAAGACCGGAAGTAACTATTTTGGTCATCTATGCTGACTTTCTGCATAATATAGGTCAGAATTTTGTCAAATGTTTCTGAATCAAAATTAGAACTTCTTTTGGATTAGATCATGCTATCCAGAAAAGAGCAAGTCTCCAATTCAAGATGTAAAGTTATGCTGAGTAAATACTACTGATGGTTGACTAGTCTACAGACTAATGTCCAGGAAAAGATCTAGTTCAAACTCAATATGAAGCTGTGGGATCTTGTTACACTTCCGTTACTGGATTGCGTAAGCCCTTCACCACCACTAAAACTGTGCTCTTAACCTCATCTTGGATAAATTAAGCATCTTAAGCTTTTTATCCTGTCACTGTAATGCACGTTTTCTAGACTGAAATTATACATAAGCTCTTCAAAATGCTTTTGATAAACAGGGAGAGGAACACAGAGATAGCAGAAACATATTTTCATATCCCAAGTAATCTCAGCTAAATTTATATTGCTGGTTATATCCCCTTCTCTGTTGTCCCTCTATTGTCGGTTTAAGCCATGGGTTTTAATAGTTGCTCATGGGTGAATCACCTTGTGCCTATCAAGGCCTGTTGAAGTTAATGGATTCAAGCACTACTCTTCTCGTAGAGTCTTATGGCCTAACACACAGCAGTATTCATCTTTAAGATACGTGGTAAGGTACTTAAAGCATCTACAAGATTTAGACATGCAGTAGGAAATAATAAATATGATATTGTCTCTCTAAAATGAAGGTGGATCTTGAGAGGATGAAATGAATTTAGCAATGGAAGCAGTTATCACCATATCCATCAATATTTTAAATCTCTTTTGAATATAAAATATTAAAT